GCCTTATCATGGAATTAGTAGCCAATATGATTCGTTGCTATTGATAACCTTATCTTTTGTCTTTAACAATTATCAGTATGTAGGAATCAGTATATGAAGCTTTTTACAACATGGAAATTAGCACTATATCCAATTAACCTACGTACATCAAATTCCTGTTAAAACGTGAAAATGGGTACTGGGTCAAATTTTGAAGATGTTTTATGGTTCCATAGGGACAATTTCTTTTAGCCATATGAAAACAAAGCAAAAGCAATTGCAATGTGATACCATTATTTTTTCTGGGGTATAATCTGCTTATCAGAATATGCAAGATGTTGTTTGATGCAGGAACTGGGCCATCAAAGACCAGATCAATCAATCTGTCCCTCTTACAGTATTTTTCTATCACACCAACTCCTCATAATTCAGACATCTGTCTTGAATGTCCAAGTTATACTGGAAACAGAGTATGTGCTTTTATCTTCAGATATGTGTACTGAACTATCTGATAAACCAAATTCTATCTACTAAAGTTATTAACAATTCAGTAATTAAGGTGAGAGGACAGTACAGTTATTTCCCTAACTATAAATAATACATTTATTTCATCCCCATATAATAAGAGACTATGCATGCTACAAAGACTTGAATCAAGTTAGATTTTTTAAAATTGCCAGGCTTTTAGTCCTATGATAACAATGTGATTAGCAGAAATGATTAGCTATTTATACAAATGCTTGCCTCTACAATTTTTAACCATGCAGTTGAAAACAAAGACATGAAAAGTAAAGTAGTAACTTGATTCTGTTGCACTCTGCAATACAAAAAATGTTGGCGTACTTTTCTACAAATGTCAGGTTGCTGAGGAACTTTTATAAAGTCAAATGTTAAGATTATCAGGCTTCTAGTTCCCAGTGCAAATACTCTTACCCTTATTTATAAAATGAAGGCTACCTTTTAAGGTAAGACTTGCCTTAAAACTGCAAACCAATAGACCCCTGGCCAGACACTGTAAATTGCCGAGAGAGTTGAGAGGAAAGGATGCCCCTATTTTTTCCAAATTTAGTTAAAGTACATTTATGGGTTTATCCCCTCACTTCAAACATCGCTAGAAGGTTTAGCACTACACTACCACAAAAGGTTAGCTATTGGTCCCATAATTTTAAGCAGAGTAAACTCATATGTCACATCTTGAATTTCTTTCTCAGCTTTTTCCAAATAAAGCTATGCTGGCCCACAAAGAACTCATTTGATATTTGGAGAACACTTGGATTTACTTGCCCTGTAATCTCAGATCTCATCACTATTTTCATGGAATTGAAAATGTCAGTTCTGGGGCATATGAAATAATAATAAAGTATCCAACTCTTTTTTCTTTACCTGGTAATCATGGCAACTTGTTTCCCAAAGTTCTCATCTGCAAAAATCTGAACTCAAATATTTGTTCAGTATTCTCCAGAGATTTAATCTTTATATTTGGTAGTCAACAATCTTAATAGTTGGTATCTGACCGGTTATGACTGATATTTGACAATTCAGATAAATGACAACTATTTTCAATTTTCAGAGAACTGAACCTGTTAGGGAACTAATGTCAGAGAACACGCTCCATTTCAACTCATCTGCTAAGGAATCCCTACACATTAATATAAATTCTTAGATTTGTTACAGAATATGTTCATTGTTGTCTACTGTGAACTAAGTCTGTATGGTACTGAATATTAGGTAGTACTAAGCACACTTTATTTCAAGGAAACTTGTATATTACTATTGACGTTCTACCTGAGAAACTTCCAAACAATCCAACACCTTGGAACCCTGAAAATCATTGGGATGTTTTAGTTGATGATATTTGATTGTTGGAACCCAATGATATTTAATCTGAGAGGATTTAATAGTTGGAATGGAATGTGATGTGCTCAAGGTTAGCTTTAATCATTAGCATCTAATGGTTAATACCTTATGAGATGTTACATCTATTGAATTGAAAAATATCCCAAAATACCAGCGAGACTGAAACATTTGAATTCTTAGGAAAAATGTCACAATCAAAAGCTGAATACTAAAACTGAAAAATTTAACAGATTTTGAATATTAATGAGTAGCTGATTCAAGTCTATCCCAGACCATGTAACATATATGGAAACAAAAATGTTTAAAAGTTTGAAGATATGATTTCTAGATGGTTGTAATTTGGCACTGGTTTCTGTAAGCTGTGATCTTTTCCCTGATATATACTTAGACCGTGTAGAATTCCTTCAGATATAAACTATTGGTCATGCAAGCAAATTGTACCTATCATATACCTACTGTGATATTAAAGATGTTTAAGGAGAAAATCCATATTGTGGGATAGCTCATTATTAATGTGTAACATTAATTAAAATAATCTAAATTCCTTTCATTACATGACTTTGGTTTCTTCCTAGCTTTATAATCTTGTCAGAGGAATATACCAGTAAATTAACTTTCCTTAGTGGACTGTTTATCTTTATAACAACTTCTTTTGTGTGCCATTTGTACATTTATTCATTTCAAAACTCAGTTTTTCATTTTGTAAAACTCATACATTTAATTCAAGTAGAACTGCAAAAGTGCTGTTTGGAAAAAAATGCTTGTGAACTGACAGACACAAATAAATCACTTATTTCCATTACAGTATTAGATTCTGTTGCTGTCCCATAGAAATGTTTTTCCTGAGTTCAACCCTGGAAGAAAAGAAACAATTGCCTCTTTGAACAAAAGCATGGTGGTATGCTTTTAGAGTGGCTCTACCACCCAAATTTCTCATTATAATTTAGCAAGCCAATGGTTTTGGCATTATCCGAACTATATCATTCTTGCTCACACTCTTTGTCACCAGGCCTATATAGCTGCCAAATTACAACTCCCAGCATACCTCACTATTAGCCATGCTGACTAGGGTTGTTTGGAATTGTAGTTCAGCATTTCCTCACTTCTTGCACACTGTTGTTTCTCATCACTACCTCATTCTAGGAAACAGAATCTATATTCTCTGATGTTATATGAGTTCCTTAGCAGCTGCTCATGAAATTGGACAAAATAGTTTGTCTATGTTTCCTTTTTTATTATCATGCTTGTCAATTTTGAGATTGTGTTAATTCTTAATACTGTAATGTGGTATTTGCACTTCTCTTCTGCTGATTAGACATACAGATATAATGATGTTTATAGAACTGTAGGAGTCTTCCAAAAGCCTAACCATGTTTTGCTTTTTGAACTATACAGTTTAATTAGATGAATGATATGTGGCTTAAAGAACATTGAACTGAAGTATGTTAGCTAAGAAAGGGCCAAATTAGCTGTAGGTTTATGGTCCCACATCATGTACATACCATCTTGAAATAACTCTGTCCTAAAAAGCAGCCCAAAATTATTTTTAATATAGTTAAATAATGGCAGTTCCATATCCTTACCCCAGATTCTTTTTGCTCTTACAGTCATATTTCCTGTTCCTTTGTTTATATCTGACTGGAGCAATGGGTCTATTACCTTCACATTAAAATAATAATAATAATAATAATAATATAAAATAATTAAATTTATATGCCACCTGACTCCCAGCGACTCTGGGTGGTTTACAATTGTTAAAACATTTAAAAACAAGGAATAACAGGAAAAAACACAAAAACAGCACAAGATGAAAGAACAACAATGGCAAAGAAAATAAAATAATGGCAAAATAGAATTTGCCAGCTCAAATGACAGTTCTTTTCATGATCAATAATTTTTAAACAGTGAACTGCTGCACCACCTCAGGAACTGAGGCAGGTATTACAATAACCCATAAGGAGAGTATAGCTAGTCCTCCTTTAGCGACCACAATCGGGGCTGGCAAATTAGGCAAAGCAGTCACTAAGTGAAATCTCAACTGTGCTTACGATCTTACTTCAGCTTTTCTTTGCTTTACAGACTTGCAAAGGTTGTAAATGTGAGGACTGGTCACAAAATTAGTTTCTCATCACTGACATAACTGCAAAAGGTTGCTGTCTGAGGCAGCTGCTAAACAAGGACTATTTGTATATGATTGTCAGAAAGATCATAATCTTGATAAGGAACTGATGATGAGCCACATTCAGTCTACTCTTAAAAGAAAAGAGAAAATCTTGTGAATCAATCCTGAGAAGTGATTCTTATTTCCACTCACAGGAACAAGATTATGACCAAGTAACAGAAATATTGTCTACAGCAGGTAGCACCTCATAGCCACCCTTGACTGATCTTGAAAATGTTAAACAGAGTTGAACCTGGTTAATACTTAGGTGAGAGATCAGCAGGAATTCCCAGAGCTGCAAGCTATCCTGCCAAATTGAAAAAACATCCTGGAAAAAGACAGTGCCAAACCACTTTCACGTCACAGCCAAGAAAACTAGATGGATGCATTCATGTAATCAGTCAGGAGTCTAACTTTACTAAAAAGAATCTTTATCTTTAACAGTAATATTAAGTTCTTTCAGAAACACCTAATGCTAATTTAGTGGATTTTACCTGTATTTTCTCTTTACCAAGGTGTTATTCACAGTTACAGATATGAATTGCTTCACTTGAAAATAATTTCTTAGGAGAAGATGTCATATGATCTTCCAATCTGTTTGTGCATTCTGAACTGTAGTGGTAATTTTGCACTTAGGAGTTAACATGTGCTGCTCCAGTGTCTGAAATAGAATTAATGTTGTTATCACTGAAAGTTTGTATTTCCTTTTTATTACCACATGGATCCGTTTATCCATATCGAGGCATCCAGATTTCATCCCTCCATCTGAGCTCCCATCCTTTTTGGGCTGAGGGCTTTAAAGGTATGCCATGCTTGATCTCCAACTGCACTGAGGTGTAAGGCTTGGACTTAGCCCTGGCACCGTGCATTGTTGCTGTTATCTCACCACCCTCCTCTTGCCTTCACAGCCTATCTTTGGATGCTTGCCCGGCTTGTGTCTGAGCCTGTGACACATGTTCCCTTCTCCTCACAGTGGGAGAGATTATAACCAGCCAGGACAGCCTAAGCTCTTATAGGAACAACCAGCAGACTGAGCACAGAGAAAAATCCAAAAGAGAAAACCCTATTTTGCAACTCTCTGCACATCCAGGAAACACAGCTTGGGTCTCAGCAAAAGCGCCAAGCCTGAACCAGGAACAATGACACCTGGGCAGATGAATACCACAGTACATGAGAAGCAAACAGCAACAGGAGAATGGTCTGCCGTTGTGTTTCCACGAGAGCCTTCTACTCCGGCACTGGCCCAGAAGTGCGTCCCAGACCAAGGTAAGTTCTGGGAGATCAGGTGTACAGAAGCCAGTCTCCCAATATTTTTGACGGTTTTTCTGCAGGACAGGTAGGATGCTTTTTTAAGTTTATCCACTAAAACCAACATGAACATACAAATGCTTTAAATACATATAATTTTGCATTCAGCACGTTTACTTTATGCACCTGAGCCAACTGCATATTCTTAAGTTAATATCTGTCTACATCGTTTATTCCAAATGAAAGGTTTGAGAATTTGAGCAAAATATTTCGAGAATTTTTGCCATCAATGTTTAAATGCTGGATGTAAATACAGCTGCTTCCCATTATCTCTGCAGGAAGGACGTATTCTGCAAAAAGCCCCATATTTTTTGTGGCTGTTCTGTTTTATTCTATGATGCTTTCTCATTAGAGTAAATTATAACTGGTATGCAAACTGTTAATGATTTTATACACATAAGCATGGATGCATTGTACAACTCATTCAGGAATTATTACACAATATCTATATGCATTCTCTTCACAACAGGGATAGCCACTGCATTTGGGAGATGATACTTTGGGGGCATCCCTGTAGTAAGATTTAATCCATTTTCATAACCAATTTCATTAAACCAGATTTTTCCATTGTGTATACAGATAAGTGTCATATCAAACATGTTTGCTCCTACTGCATTTGGTGGAATTTACTTTCAGTCAAAAGTGTACAAGATTTAAATGCTAGATGCACCATTTGTATATCTTTCTGTCATTAAGCATTGCAATTGTCAATTCCACTGAAGTTCAGAATGTTATCCTGGTAACTTTAAAAAACATCAGTGCGTAATAACCAGTGTCATGTGAATATTATGATCTAAAGAAAGAAATTTAAAAATTTGAGTCCTAACCATCAGCAAGCTATGATCAAATACCATGAAAAATTCTATTGCACAGAGTGACTGTGGTTATTAATAATAATTTAAAACTTCCCAGTCCCTGAATACTGTACCAGAATTCTTCAGAATTCATTAGAGAATTTAAATGTAAAGTTATTTTTATTGATGTTTTGAGCCAAGAACCAAGCACACTACTTCCCTCTTATCTTTGGGTGCTTCCTGATGCAATCAGTTAAAGACATTGTGCTTCTATTCTGTTCTTTCTTCCTGAATGGACTTTCTCTGAAACAAACAAACAAAAAAGAAATAGTGGGAAAATACAAGAGGGTTACAAATGAAGGACAGTACTGTCTGAAGTTCCTGAAAGTAACAGGGAAAATATGCAATAAAAACTCTTCTAAAAACATATTTTATTTCCCCCTCTCATGTATTCCCTAGTACAAAATGAAGATTGCAGGTTTCTCAGGATTCATTGTTGTTTTGTAAAACATCTTTATGGCACATCATCAGATTAACAACACCTACAGCAGCCCAAGATGTAACACAATGCTTATTTTTACTTTTTCTAATATAGATGAATAATTCAAGAACATTTTGAAGAATTTTTCTATTTGAAGAAAAGTCATGAATGCTGCAAAGTATTCAGCAGCTAGTATAATAGGTAGACCATGCAGAGTATGATCAGTGATCGAGTAAAGGAAAGCTTCCACAGAAAAATGGAAGAGGAGCTGGTCAGCATTCACTTCATCTATTTCTAATTTCCAAATATTTTTCAAAAAAGAAAGCAGCAAGGGAAGGGACTTTTTTCCATTCTGCTTTCATTCTTACTATATAAGTTTTGATGGAAACTTGGAGGGAAATATTTATGGGATGTAAGGCTGGAGGAGGAGGAGGAGGAGAGTGATGGCAGCAGCCATATCTACTCTGAAAACATGGCAATAAAAAACTATTGACTATGCACTGTTTAGCCACTGTCTACTATTTTATTTTATTTTATTTTATTTTATTTACCGTATTTATATAGCCACTCATATCACACAAAGTGACTCTGGGCAGCGTACAACAGTTAAAAAGAATAAATACATAAAAACAATTACAAATAAAAAACTATTAAAAAACTATAAAAACTACTATTAAGGAATCTGGGAAATACTTTTGATAGTGCTAAGAGTCTCAAACAAGGAACTGTGATTCCTTTGTGGCTTCCACACTTTATTTCAAAATTGCAATGGTATCAACATAGTTTTTATTATCCTGTGCTTTCCCCAGTTTATATGTTTTTCCAAATAGCAAAACATTTTTGTGTGTGAATAGAATAGTAGCATAATATGAACAGGGGAACTTTCTTCCTGCCTTTTCTAAAATGCATTCATTGATTCACATATCCCATCACACCCTAATGTAGCTTATTTATGGTTTAATGTGTTGAACGAAGCCAGACTTTGTGGTGTGCACCATCGTTTATGGATTAGTATAATGTATGAACTAAGCCAATTCTGGTTTATTCAACAAATTATGATTAACAAACCCATGATGGGCAATTTGTGAATGTTGTCATTACTTTAATATGTATAGTGACATATCAAATGAATAAATCTATTTACTACATTGGTAAATCTTGGCCTTAAAAAAAAAAACTTACTTATGATCAACTTACGGATGAATGTGAATATATTTGCATACCTAATTCAAATCTATCCTAGAAACTGTACCTATTCAAACTTCAAGTAACCAGGATAGAGATTTAGCAGATACATTTTTGTTTTTAGTTTTTATTTGGCACCTTGGCTTAGCTTGATCCTAGCTCTACATAGATTCTATCATAATGCATTTCAGTGGCTGCAGGAAAATTTCACAAAGTGACTACAAGCAGCATCATGATCAAGTTGCCAGAATTATTCACTGGAAACTCTGCCAGAGCTTTGGATTTGAATGTGGTAAAAACTACTGGGACCATCAAGTTGAGAAGGTTTTGGAAAATGAGCGGGTTAAGATCTTATGGGACTTTAAGATCCAAACAGACAGGCATCTAGTTCAAAACATGCCTGATACAACAATTATTGAAAAGAAGAAAGTTTTCATTGATGGTGCTATACTGTGTGATGCTAGGAATGAGGAAAAACAATTGGAAAAAATTATGAAACACTAGGACTTGCAGATCGAAGCTGAACATCTATGGAAAAAGAAATCTGTTGTCATGCCAATCATGACTGGAGCCCTCAGAAGGCTAAAGGATTCCCTTGATATCTGGAAATATTGAGTTTATCAGACCTGAGCACCCTAATTTTACAAAAAACCACCCTGGCTGGAATTGCCTATATTTTTAGATGCTACATTAATAGTTCTTAGGTCCTTGGCTAAGATAAGGTTTCCACCAGTCTTCGACTGTGAATCTAACTGTAGATTATGCACACATAATCATAATCATAATAACAACAGCAGCAGTGGAATAAAAGAGAAAGAACTGGAGAAAATCACAAAATATAAAGACCTGCAAACAGAAGTAGAATGACTGTGGCAAAAGAAAGCAAAGACAGTACCAACAGTAATAGGTGCCTTAGGTGCAATCCCAAAACATCTGGAGCACCACTCGAACACCATTGGCATTGACAAAATCACCATCAGTCAGTTGCAAAAGGCAGCTTTACTTGGACCAGCTTACATCCTGCAATGATACCTTTAACACCGTCAAACAACAACATCTGCCTACCCAAGGTTCTTGAGAAGGACTTGATAGGTGGATATAAATGCCAAATCCAGTCTAAATATTTGGCTAACTGTGCAGCTTGATGGAGGCTATTTTTGAGCCGCCCAGTCACCCGTTGGGGGGAGATAGGCAGCATACAAATTTAATAATAAAATAAATAAAAAATAAAATTTTTGCTACAAGAATATTGATCTCTCAGTCTTCCAGGATTGTGCTGGTGGAGTACAAGGGAGTTGGTGGGAGCAAAGCAAATTAACATGGTTCACTTTGTATGAAAAAGTAGATTCCGTAGCTATCACTTAGTGAATCCCTGCAAGGTTACAGAAAGTTCCTTGCTGTATTTAATAATAAAATCTTACTGTGTACATTTCTAAATATTATTATTTATATATTTATAGCCTGGCCTTCCTTAAGAACTCAGGGCGGGACACATAGTTCCTTTCTTTAGCTTTATAACCATATTATAAGATAGGTTAGACTGAAAAAGAGTGACTGCCCACAACTTAAATCAGTGATCTTCACAGCTGTGCATAGATTAATACCTAGATCTCTCATTGTTGAATATATCTAATCCTGGCTAAGAAGTAACTATGACTTTCTGATCATAGTCATACTTATTTTGAGGGATGAACAAAGCTGTATTCATGGCCTGAAGTTGGTGTATGATTGTAATTTTGTTCTCTCCATAGAGGTTTCACTGCAGAACAGAGAAGCAGGGGGGTAGGGAGAGATCATTTTGTTTTGTTTTGTTTTGAACAAAAAGTTCATCTGGGGTGTTTAATTCTGGCAAATCAGAAGAAACAAGAATCAAACCTGAACATGACAGTCCATCAGTAAGAGCAAAACAAAAAAAGGAAATTCCTGTTATGGAATGCTGACAAAGCTAAAAAGATAATTGGGACCAGAAATGGATTAGACATATTCACAGAGGATCTATCTATCAACACCTACTAGCTATAGTGTAATACAGAGATTAAAATGCTACTTTGGCCTGTGACAGCTGAGAACTGAGAGGGAACAATAGCAGAATGAGAACCTATAGAGGAAGAGGTGATATGTTTATCTTGGAATTGCTATGCGAGGAAAAATGCTTAAGCCATGTTTCACGTCACAAAGATATCTTGTTCCAGTTTAAGCATGCGGAAAAGAACATATGTAAAAGCTGACAGTCTGTTAGTTGACTTGTGCCTCTTAATACAAAGGAGCAGAAAGGAAGATTTCTGTTAAGTGAATTTCTGACAGCAGATTCAAATAAGCTTTTTTCTAGTCTTTGTTACCTGAGCCAAAGGCAAGTTAAGCAGGCTCTGCTCCCACATCATGTTTAGCTAAGGAGGGGAGCACCAGGTTATTGCATCGGCAAAATGTACCCAGTTAAATAACTCCTATGACTATTCCACAGGGATTTAATTTTATGTTTGCCCATTCCTAAGAGTTTT